TTCTTGAATTTTCTATTCCCCATTGATAAGGTAGACAGGAACACGTTAAAGGTGTAAAGTAGGCGTGGTTTCAGAAAGTTTTCCATATTCACCAGACTCTCAGAACTGGCCTAGAATATCCCCTAGGATTATTTGCTATCTAAACCACATCACTTTGCTCCTAGAAATGCTATTCCAGAGTAGAATCTCTGGACCAGTTTTCAGAATTCCACGGATGCCAGATATCACCAAAGATACAGTCAGTAGATCAAGAATAGATAGCCTCCTTAGATAAACTGACTGCTGACTATATTAAAAAAAAAAAAAAAAAAAAAGACGGCAGGAAATTCTGTTTTGTTCTACAGTTCTACAGTTGAATCTGGAATGAAACCTCAGAAGATTTAAAACTGGATAAAATGCAGAAAATTAAAATGTTATTTGAGATTTGGCAAAAATGTTGGAACTTTACTTTTATGTTATTTCAAATTTTTTCTTCTATTAATATAAATATTGTTGAGAAGTTGACTGTAAAACAATTATATAGTCTTTCAAGTATTTTGAGAGTTGACCAGCTAAATACTAGATTTTCTTTGTCATGTCATATATTTTATATCATTATTTTTAGTAAAGCATTTTTTTGAAGACTAGAGTAATAGAAAAATTTAAAAAATTCTATATTTGTATTTCACTGCACCCTCTCAAAATGCTTTCATAGATGGTCAAATTAGCTGACATCTCCCACATGCAGGTCACAGAAAGTAAGGTGAAATTTCTGGAAACCACCTAGGTTTTATCTCAGCTTTATCCTAACTTAAATTTAGTTGTTAATTTGTTTGAGTGTGATGAGTTCTCATGGCGTTAGTTCTAGAAATGACTAGAGGTTTTTGGATCAGATTCCTACACTCTAATTACACTTTCGCCTTACAATCTTGTGAAAGTAATTTAACCTCTTTACGTAGTAGTCTTATAATAATTAGAATGGGTTATAACTATCAAGTTCATTGGATTAATACAAAATGTATAATGATACTATATACCTCAATAGTATATGATAAAGATTAAATGAAAGAACTATATATAAATAATCACCACAATGATGGTTTTATGTAATTATTTTTAGTAAGGAATTTTTTAAGACCTATTTCAACATGTCTAATGTCATGAGTGCCTTCAGTTGATGGACACTCAGTAATTGCTAGCTGTGATAACTAACAAATGTCTTGCTTGCTAAACAGTGAGTTTGCTTTTACACATTAGACATCTTTATTTTAATTATTGAACATATTCAAGTATTTTTCAGAAATATGACACTAGGTTTATGTTCTTCTCCATTTACACAACATAAATTGTACTAACAACATATTGGTACCTGAACTACATCTTAAATTTTCAGCAAAGGAAACTGTGGCCAAAGAGGGACAGTATCTCAACCTCATTAGAAGTTGTGTTTTGCTTTCATGCCGTGTCAAACTTCACACTTCAGCAATATCAAGGTTTTTACTTTTCCCTATAAATTATTGGTAATATTAATAACAACAAGATGATACTATTTAATATGAATTAAGAGTTTTCAGGGCACTTTCACATTTATGGTTTTATTTCATTTTTTACAGCAACTCTGTTGTATTATTAGTGCATTCTCACTCTGCTGTAAAGAAATACCTGAAACTGAGTAATTTATCAAGAAAAAGGTTTAGTTGGCTCATGGATCTGCAGGCTGCAAAGGAAGCGTAATGGCTTCTGCTTCTAGGGAGGCCGCAGGAAGCTTCCAATCATTGTGAGCGAGTCATCTCACATGGCAGGAGCAGGAGCAAGGAGTGGGGAGGTGTTACACGCTTTTAAAAGACCAGATGTCATGAGAACTCATTCACGAGCACAAGGGCAGTGCCAAGGGGATGCTGTTAAACCATTAATGAGAAATCTGCCTCCATGATCCAATGACCTCCCACCAGGCCCTACCTCCAATATTGGAGATTACAGTTTGACATGAGATTTGGGCAGGGACAGAGATCCAAGCCATGCCATCTACCATTCTCAGTATTCAAGTACTTTTAGTTTCTCAGTCGTTAGGGGAGTAGCCCAAATTTGAGCAGTTAATAGCCAGTGGCTCTAATCTGGAAGCCTCTATCTTCTGACTCCTTATCTGAGTTTCTTTCTACCCTGCCATATTACTTCTACTTTCCATGTGAAGGGAAATAGTTGGCATCACGTAAGGACAGGTACAATAGACTTCATATTCTGCATGGAAAGAAAGACGAAGAAGATGCATCTTAACAAAATTGCAAACTTTATTAGTCTTCTTCAAACAATACCTGTAGTTTCATACTGATATTCTCCGATTATCTTTGAATTGATGGAAGGATAGATACTAAGAATACATTAGATTAAATTGCTGGGGTCAATCTGGTAAAATGATAAGGTTGCTAATATTTATTTGAAAAAATATACACAGAAGTACGTATATATCTTTACTTCTGCATAAAAATGCATTGTATAGGCCGGGCGGTGGCTAAGCTTATCCCACTTTGGAGCCGACGGGTACGAGGTAGGAATCGGACTATCTGGCTAACATGGTGAAACCCGTCTACTAAAAACAAAAAACTAGGGCGTGGTGCGGGCGCTGTAGTCTCAGCTACTTGGGAGGCTGAGGCGGGAGAATGGGTGACCGGAGGGAGCTTGCAGTGAGCCAAGATCAGCCATGACTCAGCTGGAGACACAGCGAGACTCCGTCTCAAAAAAAAAAAAAAAAAAAAATGCATTGTATATACATAAGCATGTATGTATCTTTACTTTTACATAAATATATTGCCAGAAAGAATAAATTATACATATCTGGGTATTCATAAGGATTTTCCAACTTTTATTGATTTTACTATAGTTATAAGTAAAAGTTGGAACTGAAAATTTTCAATACATATTTTCTTTACAAAAATATGTTCAGAAATATTTACTTAGGTTAATGGATTACCTTAAACAAGGCAATGAGTGGATATATGTGTCAGTGTATGTATGTGTGTGCATGTGTGTACATAGCCACATATTTGCTAGAAACATGTGGATGAGAAATAAACAATTTAAGCTAATTGCGAGGGGGATATTTAAAGAAATACAGCATTATTAGTCCAAGGAGAGAGGCGACACGTGCGCACCAGCAATTACTCAGGGGACACAAAATTCTTGGAAGTAGACTAAGGCTAGCCTTAGAGGAGGTAGAGAAGAAAAATAAACAATCCAAGAAAAAAAAAAAGGAAAGGGTGGGGGGGAGATTTAACTTAAAGCAGTGAGTTCAAACTGACCTTTCCCATCCTGTAAGTATTGGAAGCAGATGGCTACTCCTGTAATTTAGTCCTTGACTGCTCTGATACAGAAGGTTTAGGGTTTTCCCCCTCCTATAGCTCTCTTTGCTACAGTTATAGTCTCTTTAAAACAGGTGTGCATTTGTGAATCATGTAAGATAACATTTTCTAATTTATATTTAAAAACTGGCAGTGAAAATGCAAACAGAAAAGGTACAATGAAATACAGTTCAGATTTAATCTGATATGACACATCAGCAACTCATTGACTGATCCAATCACAAATTAGCCTACTGAAATTTTTAATTACAATTACTTTTAATGAAACAACATCATTGGAGCTTGGATGCACTCCATCAATTAGAAAGGAATGGAAGAAATATAAATACTATGTAGGCTATGTAAATTTTTCATTTTTAACATGCTTATATGTTTGCATGAACCACAATGCATGTATCTGTAAATTGACTTAAAATAGGACAGGGCTGTTCAATAAACCAATTATTTAAGCAGCAAAGCTTTAAAGATACTCAACAACAAAAACTCCACCAAGTAACCACTGAAAGAATAAACTGCATAATGAGAATTAAAAGTTTCAACAATACCCATTAGGGTATTCTACTGCACCATTGATTCCACTACTATCAATTGCTTTCAGTTAGCTGAACCTTTGAGTGCTTATTGGAAAGGACTAATAAACCACAATCAACTTTCTTTTTAACCTCACAAGGGTAGCTTGAATGAATTAAATGCTCTTCCCCGTTTTCCATTTCAGACACGTAAGTAGCAGGAAAATCTTAAACGTGGCCTTTTATAAGTCTTTTCTCCCGTAAATAAAAACAAGAAAAACATATGCATCTATTCCATGATGAAAATATCAGCATTTTTCACATGCTTTAGATCATTATTGTACCTATTAAACTTTACAGATGTGCTTCTCTTTGATTCAGGTTCAAAGAAGCAAAAGGATGAGACCACTAAACAAATTTGGTGCTGCCCATTAACTAATTCAGTTTGCCTCAATTTTATTGAGGTGACAATAGTACATTTTTAAAAAGTAGATAGGTATACATATAAATAGACAAACAAATAGATAAATGGCTTACATGTCCAATATCAATGCTCTCAGGTATTTGGCAATTGCAGAGCAAGATAGATTTAAACTGATAATTCCTTAGTGTTTGTGAAAGGATGTTGTGTTACCATGTCAAAGGACAGGACGTTTGTCTCTGTACTAAAGATACAATTAAAATTTGTTCATAAAATATAATAAATTACTAGACTTTAAATTACTAGAAGTGTATAGATACTATGATTATTACTGTTCACATTTTTACTCCTAATTTACTCTAAAATAATTGCATAACTTTCAAATATTAAACACAATGCTTAAAATGAACTTTCAGAAAATTCTGAAATTATTTAGAACAGAATTAATTAAACATTTTTATTTTGTCTTGAATGATTTAAGTTGTTAGAAGAATGTAGCTGCTAATAAAAATCCAGTTATTTTCTGCTGAAGATCAAGTGATGAAATTTTGTTAAATGTGAGGCTGAGATGTTCCAATTTACCTGAAAATCTTTCTATGAAAGGCAATTTTGAAGGACATTATTTTTATATTGTATAACATTATTTTTATATTGTATAACATAATTTTTATATTGTGTATATAATTATGAAACAAAAAGACTTATTAATTTTAAAACAGAAAAATACTGACTTATAGCCATCAATGTTTCAGCCAAAATCTCAGTTGTCAGCCTATAATATTTCTGTAAAAGAAGACATCAGATTTGTACATCATCGTTAAAATTTGGGCCCAATGATTTTTATTCAGAACTATCTGAGTTTAGAAATTTCATCTTTTCCTAAATATATACTTCATGAATTTACTGGAATCTTGAGATAAATTTGAGTGGCTCACTAACATGTCAGATTCTTATACATGAATACAAAATTTGCTTCCCTGGAGCCTAGAATGTGTTTGTTGCATAGAAAATTCCTGTTGATTGCTGTTGGCTTGGACTCTTTCTTTTCCTTCAACTTTTATTTTAAGTTCTGGGGTACATGTGCAGGATATGCAGGTTTGTTACATAGGTAAACGTGTGCCATGGCAATTTGCTGCAAAGATCATCCCATCACCTAGGTGTTAAGCCCAGCATCCGTTAGCTGTTCTTCCTGATGATCTCCCTTCCCCAACCCCCATGGACAGGCCGCAGTGTGTGTTGTTCCCTGCAATAAGTCCATGTGTTGTCACTGTTCAGCTCCCATTTATAAGTGAGAACATACAATGTTTGGTTTCCTGTTCCTACATAAGTTTGTTGAGGATGATGGCTTTCAGCTCCATCTACGTCCCTGCAAAGGACATGATCTCATACCTTTTTATGGCTGCATACTCTTCTATGGTGTATATGCACCACATTTTCTTTTTCCAGTGTATCACTGATGGGCATTTGGGTTGATTTCATGTCTTTGCTATTATGAATAGTGCTGCAATGAACATACATGTGCCTGTATCTTCATAATAGAATGTTTTATATTCTTTTGGGTATATACCCAGTAATTAGATTGCTGGATCTAATGGTATTCCTGCCTCTGGATATTTGAGGAATCACCAGATTGTCTTCCACAGTGGTTGAACTAGTTTACACTTCCATCAACAGTGTAAAAGCATTCCTTTTTCTCTGCAGCTCACCAGCATCTGTTGTTTCTGGACTTTTTAATAATCAGAATAATCAGTGATCATTTTAGAATTTGGGGGGAGTGTGTCATTTGAAATTGTACATTGAAAATAATGTGTAACAAATTGCGATGAGATACAACCTAACAAATCATAACACAGGGTGATTCTCAGTTTGTGAAATCTTAGTAGGACACATTCAGTAGTGCGCTAGCGATTCTTAACAACTGGCTCCCCTGCCTATCTCTTCTCTCAGACAGCCTGCTTTGGTGCTAAAGGTCTTGACCTGCTGGTTATTTGTACAGCAATAAATATATAGCAGTTGAGAAGTATACCATCAAATGTAGATTTCAGCATGAATGCATATTTAATATGCCATCCATGCATGATTACGTGTGAGCTCAGCTCTCTTAAACTAATTATCTCAGAGAATTAAGATGAATTTTTGTAATAATTTCTGAAGTATAGTCACAAGAAACTGATATAATTTACCAAATATGTTAACAACTAACTCCAAAGAAAATTTTCAAGGACATTAAACACACAGGACATGGTTTACCACTGAGAATTTACTCATTGAAATTGAGAAACTTCATCCACTTTCCATAAATAAATATCACTGTGGTGACAGACAGAAAAGTAAATTTCTATCCATACTGAATAATAAGTCTTTAGGAAAACTGTCATTTGATAAAATGTCAAGCCGTTCATTTAAAATGAACATAGTCTATGAACTGGTAATTTTTGCAAAGTTGTCAACAATTTTTCAAAGATAATTTATCAGTTTTTGATTCTCTCTAAAGCGTCCTTGCTTTCCTCTGCTACACAGACCACTTCTGCCTGGAGGGAAAAATATTAAAATGGCTACAGCAACTTGAGCTTTTCATGGAATGGCCACTATAATGAATGAATGCTCACTGTTAGCCCCTCTGCCAGCGTACCTTCAGGGAGACTGAATCATAGTTGTGATAAAGCAATGATTCTACTTCACATTGTTTCAGGCCCTGCCCTGCAGATGTTCCCTTTTAATCTGTGGAGGCTGCTAACTCATGAACCACTGTAGCATAAGATAATTTTGCTGAATCTGTGTTGAGGGAGGGGCAGACGCTAATAGTAACTAAGGGTGAATTTACTATCCGTAAATGAAAGGAAAATAGAATTGAATATTTAATCTACCCTCAAGTCCATTTGACTGAAAATTGCATTCGGAAAAGTTATTTAATCGTTGTGTGCATGTGTGCACTGCGTGTGTGTGTGTGTAGGCATTTTAGAAAACTACAAATTCTCAGAACAAATATCTCCTGACAATTATCTCTGCTCCGCCGCTTCTTTACCTTGGTTCCCCATCTTACACACAATAGACTCATGAACATTTTCCCGGACTATTACTTGGAATGGAAAATTAAAATCATAGATTTTCTCCCATATTATTACCAAGTCAGTAATACCTTTGGTCTCAAAAACTATCTCAGAGGAAGCGTCAGAAATATTAGTTCGGAAGCTAATGCCATCTTCAGCATGTGAATTTTTGAAGGCAAAGGGTCTTGATGCAATTTGCATCATCAAGCAAGGAGTGGTTGACTTTTCTCGATCTCTTCCTTGTGCCTAAACGTAAGTAAATTAACAAAGAGTCAACACTATAAGTCATTCATGATGGTTTTATAAAAATATAAATTCACTCATATTTTATATGAGTGAATTTGATATACCGCACACAATATGCAAACACAAAATTTACCCATAAATGTTTGAAATATATTTTTATCCATATCACAAGTATGTAACATCTATCAGCTATGAGACCAGGTATAGACCATAATGTTGCTCCAAAGACTCATCACACAATCTGGGACATGAGGATATGTGTAAAAGAGCAACAGATACTACATGTGCTAGCAGAGGGTTTCTAGAAATGTTTGGGAGAGTCGGAAGTGGTGGTCAGAGGTCTCAGAGATGAGGTGGTATCCGAGCTGAGGTTTTAAAGGGTAGATCTCCAAGCTATCAAATAAAGGAAGAGTAGCATAGTCATGCCACATTTAGAAACCGTAATTAGTTAACTGTCATTAAGGGTTAAGACTGACGGGGGACAATCTGGAAAGAAACGTTTCAATATGATCTGCATTTTGGACTTAATACTGGGTCACTGGAGAATGAGAGAGGGTTTTTAATGAGGAAGTTTATGTAATTAGTCATTTTTTAAAATAAATGTATTTTGACAACAGGAGAAATAAGAGTCTAAAGGTAGAAAAAGTAGATAGGAAGCTATTTTGATAGCCCAGAAGGGAGATGAAGTCCATGGAGGTAAAGAGTCTAGTGCAAGAAGTAAACATATTGAAGACTATGAAAGGAGGTATGAGACTATAGCAGATGTAAGCTTGCTTTCACTACCAAGGACAAATTGAAAACACTCAATACAAACACACACAGGCACACACAGAAGCACATACACATAAAATCAACGTGCCAAAGAGAAAATGAAAAAATTTGGAAATTTGGGCAACAAATTGGTCCTAGCTTCATTTTATCCTTTTTATTATAAGGCTTTTATTCTGAAAGTTCATTTAAACATATAACAAGTATTTATTATAAGTTATTTGTGTGCAAATGTCCATTCTAGGTGCTGAGATTTAGAAACTTAGAGACAAATTCCCTGCCAAAATGGAATTTGTATCCTAGTAGAATGTCATTGATATTGCTTCACTTCAAGCCTAAAAGATGAATCAATGGAGGAAATTTAATTTAGAAGACTTAGCTCTGTAATAAGAAATAGGATCTGCTTCTATGGGACTTTTTCCTAAGAGAGTAATGATTTCTTAGTAATTATAAATAAAAAGCACCCTGAAATTTATTGTTTTACAGAAAATACTTACAGAAGTAAAACTCTTAAAAATTAGACAAAATAAAAACAGAAATAATAATGCCATAGTATTATTGTATAACTCAAAATCATCTTTGAAAAGTTGACTTAGAAAAGATAATTATAATGGAAATTGGACTATATTTATTTTTTTCATAATTTGGGTTAACGGCCATCTAGAAAAAGAATCTGAAATTACTGGTTCTATCATAAATATTCTAATTAGGAACAATTAAATTCAATGATTAAATTACATTAAATTCTAATCTCCCCATACTACATAAATAAAATATGTATAAAACTATATAAATATGTAAATATGTTATTAGATATATTTATGTACACACATATAGATATATATCACTTCTGTTTCCTGATTCTAGAAGCTTTCTGTCAGATTTCTTGTTTCCAAGTACATCAAATACAAAAGCAAAAAAACAAAAAACAAAAAACAAAAAAAAAAAACATCATTTTTACAGACCTCAGGCCAGTGACCCAGGTGAAAAGAGAAATGAAACAAAGCTTTCTTGATGGAAGAATAAGAGCTTTCTCATCATTCTGGACCAAGCTGTGAGCCATGTATAAAAGGTAATTTATTTTCGGAGAAAAAAACAACGAAATTACTCACTGGTGAAAACACAATTGGAGACCTAGAATTTGGGGAGACAGACACCCAGATATGTGTTCTCTTGAATCATTACACACACAATGTCTAGATGCTAAGAAATTGCAAGGAAATTTTAAAAAGGGTATACAGAATTCCCAAAAATGCCCCTTATTTCTCAGTTGTTTTCACTAGTGAAATATATCTTTTTAAACCAGTTAAACCAGTTAGTGGATACTTTTATATGCCCTTGTAGTTAAGTGAGAGTTTTTTACCTCAAGCTGTCAATTAGTACTGCTCTAGACACACCAAGTGGCTGATATCTGTCACCCTGTTTGCTCTATTTACTATCTAAATGCTTAAATCTTGAATACTTAATGGATTTGTTCATAGTTCTTTACTCATCTCCTTGTCCTCTATTCAGCATGTTCCAAGAATGCTCCTGTTCTTCAAATATTATCTACGTGTCTGGCACTTCTGTTTCCTTATATCCAGATGAGTTAGCTGCCAAATACCTAATCTAGAATTTACTCATGTCAAAATGGAGCAACCCTGCACTGACCTCCCAGGGGACCAGATGGTGCAGGCAAATGTCACAATAGCAGATGTCACAATTAGATGTCACAATAGAAGTATGCATAAAATACTTAAGTTAAAACAATATTGGAATGGTAGTGTGCGTATATTTTATATGTATTCATTTAATTAAATAAAACATTGTGTAATTGGTACACAAGGAAGTTTTTACAAAGCACAGATATACAATGGAGAATGAGGTCACACTTTTAAAGTAAAAAGGATCCTATTTATGTCCATCCAGCTTCTTCCTCAGTCTCTCCTGATTTTAATGTCCAAGTAAGTTTCCCCAAGTGAGTTTGAAAGTGAAACAGGAAGAATGAGCACAGACGTTCTGTGCGCCATTGAATAGATTTTCGGATTAGTTTTGGATGAATGCTTTTTAACGTGAATACTATATTTAGGTGCTCAGCACAAAAGGTCATTCCATAAGCACCCCCTAATAGAGTAATTTGTGTTACTTTTAGAGAATTCAGAATTCTGTCACCATCTCAAACGACTTAATGCTGCCTGGCAATTCTACTATTATACAAAGGATAATTATACCCTTCTCATTACATCTTCAAGAGGCTCACCACAGCCATATTTTGTTCAATTTTATTTAAGGCCTGCAGAGTTTAAAAGTAACCATTCATTATAATTTTAGTTAACATTTATTTTAAAATCTTGCGGATATTTTTTATAATTCATACAATGCCGATAATAATAACTATAAGAAACAGGAATTAGCATCAGCTTTTTTATTTTTAAAAACATTTTGCTTTTAAGACTAACAAAGGAAAGACTAGTGACATGAGTTTTGAAATAAATTTTATAAGGATCAATCAAAGAAGAATAGTGTCAGCAAGAGTTTTCAAATGATAAATGAGAGCATTTGAGTTTGTTTCATAAAAGTAATTAACAGACTAATATGACATCACGTCATTTAAATCTTGTATCTGAGATTGCTTCCCGTGCGATTTTAAAGAGGCTGGAGTAAATAAAGAGGCAAAAACGTGAAGTGTTTTTTAAGTCAAATAAGAAAACTTTAAAAAGCAAGCTTCTTAAATCCTTAAAAAAAGGACAGCAGAATGTGTAAACTGTGATAAATCTACAATTCACACACAGTCATGGCATTTTCAAGTTTTACTGGGTCATCTTCTTGACTGGGTTAATGAGCAGTAATAGACACAAGCAGGTTTTTGGATAGATGGTGTTTGTTATTCATGTGTGTGTTCTCCTCATTGTTTAACAAAGAACCTTACAGATAGTAGTCAATGAATTTCCGTTTGATCAAATTTCGAATAAAAACTTTTTACCTATTGTTAATTGCTGATCAAATCACAGAGTTTTTTGTTTGTTTGTTTTCCCAACAAATTTACTGTCGTGGTATTGACCAGGGAACTCTTAACTCTTTTTTTGTTGTTGTTGACAGAGTCTCACTTTGTCATCCAGGCTAGAGTGCAGTGGCGGGATTCTCGGCTCACTGCAACCTCCTCCTCACGGGTTCAAGCGATTCTCCTGCCTCAGCCTCCCGAGTAGCTGGGACTACAAGCACCTGCCACCACGCCCGGCTGATTTTTTGTGTTTTTAGTAGAGGCGGGGTTTCACCACGTTAGCCAGGATGGTCAGGGTCTCCTGACCTCGTGATCCGCCCGCTTCGGCCTCCCGAAGTGCTAGGATTACAGGCGTGAGCCACGGCGCCCGGCCCAGTGAACTCTTACCTCTATAAATGTAAGGGCTTCACACTATTACCGTGTGTGTGTGTGTACAATAATATATAAATAAACAAACTTATTTATTTGTTACATTTTACAAAGCTCAATCTAAAATGATATTCTTATGACACTTTATTTCAGAAAATTATTTTATGGAAATAAAGTGAGTTTAAATTAACATATATTATTCCTTATTATGTGAAAAAATTAAGGTTGATAACAATTTAGGTATGAACAACCAACCACTCACAGTGACAGACATGATTTACAATAATGATGGCCGCATTGAAATATAAACTTATATAATTATTTTAAGTGGTCAAGAAATTAATGCTTTACTTTCTAACAATCATCGTATCTACTTTTCCTACAGGTTTAGGCAATTCTAAGCGTTTGTTTTCCCTATCATAAACAATATGAATATTCATGCTAAAATGAGAACTATTAAATCAAAGCATGAATTATTTACTGTTGCCCAGAGATGCATTAACTTCACGGAATATTACTAACTCACAAAGGTTTTGAACATCTACCTGAAGTCAGTTAAACATTCATAATACATAATTCTAAAAATAACATTCCCCAAAGTGTGCAATTTTAAGTTGAAAAAGTCAATACAAATCTGTGATAAACAGTAAGAGAGCATCCGGATCAGAAAAATGCATTTCTTTTCTCTCTGCAGGTTAAGAATGAAATAGTGACTTCCAGACACACCTCTTGTCAAATAGAAACAAGGCACTTGCTCCTGAGTGTCCTCACCCCTATGGACTCTTCACAGCCACTGCAAAAGGCTGGGATAATGATGTTTCATGCTGACATTTTGGTGGCACCAGTGTCCCATCACGACATGGCGGGGAAACTCAATAGGGTAGGATTAGATAATTTTGCAAAAAATAATTAAGGGAATCTTTTCTTTTGGTTCCCAATTCATGAAGTTGTGACTGCGTCAGAAACCTTCCCTTACCTTTAGAGTTAGTGTGGTGCAGTGCAGAGAACACAAATGTGAAGCAGACTCATCTGTGTAATTGTGTGCAAATAAATGAATGTTTCCAAATTCTTGGTTTTCTGTGTTAAATAACGACATCCTAGGGATGATGGGTATATTAAATAAATTAATGCATGCTAATTACTTCTTATAGCTCCTAATGAGTTAATATGAATTTACAGAATTGGACTTTTGGGATCAAATTATCAGTCTGCCTCTTGTGCACTTTGGTAATTTAGAGGAAGCTATTTAATTTTTCTCAAGTCCATTTTCCTCAGTTGGGAAATGGAGATAATAGTATCACCCAATATGGTGTGTTGTTGTTTGGGTTAGGGAGTGAATTCGCATCCTAAATAGCATACCATAACATTCAATTTAGGTTAACTTTTATTTTATAATCAGTTATTTTCATTTCTATGATTCACTTGATGATAATAAAATTAAATGACCCTACTGGTTGCTATCATTTCAATTTTAGGGGAAAGATGAAGTTTTAATATTTGGAGAAGGAATACACAATGAATATCTAGCATGAATACTGACAAATTTACATCAAAATTATTTTAAAGTACTCATTATTCTGGGTTACTGAAGCCAAATATGTGTCTTGGTCTTCAAGAGGCAATGACAAAATATGAAAAATCTTTTAGAAGTTTATTATTTTTTAAATTGTTTTAGATACAGGGTCTCACTTTGTGGCTCAGACTGGAGTGAAGTGGTGCAATATAGCTCAATGCTTCCTTGAACTCCTGGGCCCGAAGCTGCCTCAGCCTCCCAAGTAGCTGGGACTACAAGTGTGTCCCAGCACATCCAGCTAATTTTTGTATTTTTCAAAGAGACAGGGTCTTTGCCATGTTGCTTCCAAAATGATCCTCTTGCCTTGGATTCCGAAAGTGCTGAGATTTACAGGTATGAGCCATAATGCCTAGCCTAGAATTTTTTACAAGACTTGTAAGAAGAGCATATGACAAATTGCATTGCTAATTCTTTGGCTGATCTCGGTTCTACTAAAGAAATAAAAGAGAAAGTTCACGTTAAGCACTTTTGTGGCAATCAGTCAACAGATCTGAATTCAGAGCTCCTCTTAATGAGGTATAAAATTCAATTTATTTATTCAATCATTATAAAGCTCCTTATTAGGTGACTATTGTGTTTGTCCAATACTTTTCTAAACTTTGAGCATGTAGCACTAAAATCATAGGCAAAAATCTATGCCCTTATAACATTTTTTTCTGGAAGAAAGCAATATTTAAGAAATACTTAAACATAGTATAGGATAGATGGATTTAAGTGATTAAGAGTAACAGATGGTTAGCAGGATATGACATAGCAGTGAGGTGCCGCAATTTTAGATGGAGATTCTGGGAAGGTCTCGCAGAGAAGGTGACATTTCAGTAGAGACCTGAAGGAGGTGAGCGAGTAGTTGTGTGAATCTCTGAGAAAAGTTGTTCTAGGAAGAGAGAGCTGCAAGTGCCAAACCTTCAGTAAAGCATGTGTCTGATGTGTTTAGAATGATGAACATTCCAGAAGGATATGCTTCAGTCTGCAGCCTTTGTAGGAGTCCCTAAGCTACCAATCTTTGTTATCTGCCTACCTTAATTCATAGCTGGTGCCAGGAGGAGAGAGCTTCCGTCTGCAATTAGAGAATGGCTGCCAAGACCACATAGAGACACACATGGGTACACTTTCCATCACCAGCCCAGAGATTTCGGTTTGTTTTTAATTTCCCTATATGCACATACATGTCTTGTGACCAAAAACAGATGAAACATCTCGTTCCCTACCTTCTCAGGTTGTTTATAGGATCCTCCTTTACATATACAGAATGTTGTCTTTTTAAGGGAGGGAAACAGGAAAAATAAATAGAATAGCTGGTAAGTGGCAAGGGAGTGAGTTTTCTCAAAGGCTGTTTCAGCTTGGTATTTATGTAGTGATATAAGGATTATTTAATACAGTTTTATGCAGTATTATCATAAGAAGGAAAGGAGAGACGAACATTTTATCTTACCATAAAACAGCTCACAAAACTGCTCAGCAATAGAGAATTGTTATCTGTGCTAGGAGGCTGCCGTATAGGTAAAATACCTGTTCCTCCTGATATTATAATAATTAGTATCCCATTTAATAGGTTTAAATTTTTCTACTCTTTATAAAACTTATTAAATAATCTCTATAAAACAGAAGCCTCAAATTATATTTAAATAAATAAAAAGCCCACATTGAAAAATAATGTTTGGTTAGAAGGCTGAAAATTAAAAACAACACGTTAAGAGTGGCTATCTTTGG